AAACGTCGAAATGGAGGTAAAGGCATGCAGAGAAATCCGACATTCCAAAGGTTACAGAATTTATTTTTCTTTAATCAAGCAGGCTGGCGCCAGAGACGTTTCCTTGCGAGTATGAAAGTCGCCCTCGCCATTTTAGACAACTAAGGGAACTTCTGGAGGAATAATTTCGGAGTGCTCGAAAACGCTGCACACCTTCCGAGAACTCATAGGCCAGACAGCGTGACTAATTACGTACTGGCATCCGCAGCAACTTTTCAATATCTCTATGAAGTATATTTAAGCGTGTGTCTGTGGGCCTCCATTGTCAACTTCTGTTGTTGTCTGAATATAGGATTTATGAGACTGCATGGGTCTTTATTGCTGCCACGAGCATCGCTCAAGCTCCCTCGCATTTGAACTTTCTCGTTGCAGACAAATGTATCTGTGAAAATTGCCCAATAATTCGACTGATAACAGAGGCATAATCGGTGTGTGAATGGTTCATCCAGAATCCTGTCAATCGCATTTTTCAACAATTCGAAGATGACGATTTTTCACGCGATTTTTCGTGTGTCACAAGAACCTTCCTATGCTGGTATAATAATTTTCTACTTGCAGAATTTGCATAGGTTAACATAGCACGGTAAAGTCGACTGAACTCGATCGACATGCTTTGTTTAATAAATAGGAAAAATAAATAGCAAAAGCTTTTGCTGAAATGCGATATTCGAGTTTTTCAAAGCGCTTCTTATTTTGTTAGCCGTGAACCTCCTTGAAAGAAATTCCAGAAGTCTTTGATGATGCGAAAGAACTTTATGATGCCAGTTTCGTCTACCAACGTTAAAAACGAACAGACTACTGTCTTATGTTGAGTTGTTTCACTTGCAAATAACCCCTTGTTCTTCACAATTTACAGTATGCAGGATACTCTAAACCGCGTGCCAGTATTTTTTGCAATTTTACCATTGAAACATCGCTTTCCTCTTTCAATAATGAAACTTTAATTTATTTCAACAGTGACTACACTTGTTACAAAATTTGACCCTATCTGCGCCAACAAATTTTAGAGTAATGGAGAATCGCACGATGTTAATTTTCAGTTACGCTGCAAAACGTTTGAAATGTTTGCGGCTAGTGCAACTTGACCTAATACAATTGCCAGAATTAATATTGTCATTCTTTATCTCACAGAATTCTCATGCTTCAAGCAGTCAAGTTTTGTTCTGGTATCACAAATGGTACTGTGTTTCTTGTACATGTGGTCATTTCGAGGTTCTCTTCGAGATGAAACGCCGCTCCATGGGGCGAAAGAGAAACCGCTGAAGTACCGGTATGCTGAAGTAAAAGCTATGCTCGAGTTGCTCACTGAGGAAAAAGTTTGACTGGCCAAGCCTCACGGAGTTGTCATTTAGAACTCAACTCGGTCTGGGTGAAGTGAAAGAGCAAACGGATTTTCAGTCCAAAATGCCAGGCAAGCGTTGAAATTAGCCAAAATCGAATGAAATAGAAAGTACAAACAAAAACGGCCCCTACATTTCCGCTTGCAGCTCGATTTAGTCTACATGGAGGTCCGAAGATAATATTCGTCCTGTGTGGAGATGCTACGAATCTCTTGTAAAAGGGCGCTGTCTAGTAATAGGACATTTATCCATACTGTCACGTACAGCTGTTGAACGATAAATGATGAAGATAATATACATCAGTTATTCTACGAGCAAATAAATATAAAGTGCGACATTTCTGTCCTGTGTAGAATGAGAAGAAAATGCACGATGAACTTCAAGGTCTCAGAAGCAAATAAGGAAGAAAAGACTACAATGTTATACGTAGTAGAAGCGTCAGTAGCACTAAATTTATCGCTTTCAAAGAATTCAAGTAGTGAGTTCGTCTCTAATCGTCTCGACTTTTATTAAATTATTATTGTATTCTGAAACACAATCGAGCAATAATCATTAACTGCTTGCCCCAAAGGCAGTTTTTGATGACAAGAAA